CACCCACAGGACCTCACCAGCGGGCTGGGTATGCCTGCCACTGCAGGACAGATGGCCTTGGTACCACCATCCCTGACTGAGGCAATAAAAGACCAATTCACAAGCTTTCCTAAATATCTTGCCAACACTTCTGCAGAACTGTAAAGGGTTATTTCCCATCCTACAAATAACAGACAAAAGCCAAGCTGCAGGAGCTATTCTCCCAAACTGTATGACAAAACAGTTTCACGTTCGTATCTCTGCTGAACATAATGACAATGAAACTGCGATTAAAAAGTCATTTCTCCAGTAAGCAGAAGGTACATTCAGTCAGGAAACTGGTCTTAGAAAAAACACGCCAGTTAAAGAGATGCCAGAACTAACACCCCAACATGCAACACAGACCTACCCTCATGCCCATATAGAAAGGGATGACGGTGACACGGATGTTCTCTGTGGTTTCTCGGTGCACATCGGAGAGCTCCAGCCAGGGGTGGTTCTTCTCCTGCCACGCACACAGTGTGTCCCTCGCTACAAAAGGTGGAACTGTGGGGAGGGAAAGATGAGAAAGTCCATGAGCATAGAGAGGCACACCATAACAGGAGTGCTTTCCCCTCAAAGCAACTCCTTTCACATAGTTACAATTACTTAGAGGAGGCTTTACTGTAACAAACCCCAAACCAGACCAGGATTTTTACACCGCATCCAAGATGATGGGTTCTGGCTGTTTGTCGTAAAATACCTCAAAAGAATCTGGCCCTGAAGATTTCCCTCTGAAGCCAAAACTTACCTTTTGTTTGGTCGTACATGAGGAACCTCTCAAAGAGCTCATGCTGGATGGGCACTTGATCAGTGGAGCTGTAGGGAAGGATATCTTCATGGCTTACATAATCTAAACCTGAAAAAGAAACCCCAGAAGCCACTGAACTTCTCCATCGAAGAGCAGCTCAGAAGTCTCCTGGCAGAGAAATGGATCACACTACTAAGATGTTAAGAAAAGGACTTTGGCAGCAGAAGCCAAACTAATACCATGATTGCAAGAATGAAGGAAACTGGCCAGTAATATCCCCTCCTAGCATTCTCCTGTGAGACTCCTCCACAGAATGATTTCCCTGATAAATACACACTGCCTGGGAAATGACTGCACTGCCACAAAAGGACTTTGGGCAGGAAATGCACAGGACAGAAGAGATCTAGGGGCCCTGGTAGTAAAATACAACAGCCCGTACAAAACAGGGTATGTGTATGGGATCCATGTCTCAACAGCTCAGAGCGAGCAGGCCTGTGTCTGGTCACAGACTCTGCCCAATTTCCATCTCTCCAAAAGGGCTCCACGTCCATTAGTCATTCTGTTGTTTCTAGCAGGGCCCTAAATCACAGATGGATCCTCTACAGGAACATCCTGTAGGTACAGCTGCTTCACTGGCACAAGTTGACTGTCGATGACTCTTCTGACCTCGCCTCAGGACAGTCCACATCTCCAGAGAGGCTGAAGGTGTATTCTACTCACCTGGTATGGCATAGAGGGCTCTGCTGTCATCGTGATTTGCCAGGAATGTCACCGCTTCCGTCTGTGATCTCTGGGACTGAGAAAAAGGAAGGTTTATGTCTTTCTGCGTGGAATGTTGCGGGCCGGTTTCCAGGCACAGTGTTGTGGTTTCTAAGGTGTGCTCATTACAACATTTACTGTAAAATGTTTATTTTATTTAACCAATTCACCTCAGAATATCTCTCCCTTTAACTCCTCTAGACTAACTCTCCACTCAAACAACTGAAGAACATTTTCAGTGCTGCAACCCCCATTCATAATGACCTGTGTGCAACAGAGTAGGAATGCCAACAGGATGAGGAAGGGAGGCTGGAAAGGGGAAACACAGCCCAGAAAGAAGTCATATGAAATTCCAGATTATATTTCCCAGGGAAAATACAACTTGAAGAACAAATCTGTCCTAAAATTCTAAACAAACAAGTTGGCCATTTTCTTTCAGTGCCTGTTCATGTAAAGCATTCACACAGGAGAAGATATTTGAGTTTCAATACCAAGATTATTGGTTACTTACTATATGTGGACAATCCCGGGCATCTATTAGCACCTGATAGTAAGTATGAGTTTTGCCCTTGACCTCTTTGGAACCATGGCCTGTCGCGTTCTCGCTTCTAAAAAGAAAAGCAGAGCACTGAGCTCAAGCACAGGATGGCAGCAAACTGTTCTGACCAAGCACATTCATAAACAGTGATTTTTTAACTTTTTTTTTTTTTTTAAATACATTTCACAGTCTGCAATCATTCAATTCCACCCAAACTAAACTCATGTCAACCACCCACACAACGACAGATGAGCCGAGGTAACAATCAATAGTGTCTGTCACAGGCACAGCAGCTCTGTTTTTAGAGAACTCAGAAGTTCTTCCTGGTCAGTCCAGTCTCCTGTTTGGGGTGGGCATTTCTACTGCCCTCTGGTTCTCTCCCTGCTTCTCCTCGTTCCTTCCCAACTCCACACACACACTTGCCCAGCACACTTCCACCACAGGCCACGGGGAAACGGATGGAAGGGGGGAGAGAACTGAACAGTGACACAGGCCACAAGAAGGATGAAGTTGGCCTGGTGGGTTGAAACTGGAGAAGGGGCAGCTGACAAATCCAGCTCACTGGCAATCCACAGAAGAAGCAGCCTGCAATTTTAACACAGGAGCCTACACCTAACTCAAAAAGCAACACAAGAGGGTTTTTTTTATAGCAAACAACTCCAGGAGAATAGTTTGTTGTTTGGTTGGTTTTTTTTTTATTTCCTTCACACGCGCACACACTCATCCTTCATACTTCCATCCTGTCTCTAATTAACACAAAATTAATGCTTGTGCAATATCTCTTCTTTAAACATCTCTCTTCTAGTTTACGTTCATGCAAAAGAGACCCAAACCATTTTCCTCCTTCAAAAGGCTGGACTACCCCAACCAGGAAACTCACCACGAAAATGTAAATGTAACGGTACAACAACATATAAACCAGAACAAATCCTTACTTTTCTGTGACAGGAGAAGCCACATCTCGATCATAAAGCCTGGCTTGCCAGGGAAACAGGACTATTCCTCTATAGCCAAACACACTGTGAAGAAATAGCTAAAAGGAACAAATAATTGCATTTGAATAAACAGTGAGCTTTAATCAACTTTAGTCAACAGAAAATATGAAGCCAAAAGCCTTTTTCTGATAGTATTTAAAAAAAAATATCTGCTAATTGGGGTAAAACTAGACAGGTTTAGAAAGACCAGGAATGTGTGTCATGGGAATACAAGGAGAATCATCACTGTGCAAACCCAGCGCAGAAACAAAGAGGGAACATAAATATTTCTTCTCTCTGGGGTGGGTGAAGAAATCCGTGCCATCTCTATCCCATGAAAGTAAATGACTAAACCAGGAATAAAATAGTAATATGGCACAACTGCAGGAAGGAGACCAGCATGGGAGAGACCTCTTAGGAACGCAGAAACAGATCTGCGAGTCATAAGCGCAGAAGTGACAAGTTTAGGTGTTATTTCTCAAACTCAGTTATTGTCTCTCTTGCTCCTGGAGGGAGAAAATCCCTAAATCAAGCCAGCAGAGCAAATGCCATTGTAGGGACGTTTGTGTCAAGCTGCAGATTCTTATCAACTTGCTACTGTTGGATGACTGACAAACTGCAGACACAGCAGAGACAAGGAGCACTGAACTGTGAAACTTCTGGCCTCCTGCTCCAGCGCAGCAGCAGCCCCCTTATGGGTAAGTCACTTGGCTACCTGGGCTCTGTGGAACAAGCCTGCAGGGTCAGCTCCGCTCCCCAAAACCACTCACCTGCCCCGTCTCGTATTTGCCGTGCTGCTTCGGTGCCTCAAACACCCCCACGGTCTCCAGCACTTTGCCCTCTGGACGGTTTCTAGGAGCAGAGAGGTAGTTTGGAGGGTGTGCAGGGGCTGAACCAGCCCCTGGCTCAGGGGGCACACAGCATCCGAGCCCCAGGTGCTGGCCAGGCATGGGCCCCCACCTCATACCTCCCTCGGGTGCCATGCAACCCCCACAAGAGCCTCACTACATGCTAGGCCCCCCCACTTACCTGCCCTCCATCCCTTTGCTAGTCCCCCCTTTCCCACCTGCCCTGGACACCCCCTTGCCAACTTGCCCCTTTAGCCCCATCTGCCCCTTTCCCATATCCCTGCCCCAGCCACCCTGACAGCCCCCCAACTTCTCCACAGTCTTCCCTCAGTGACTCAACAGCCTCTCAACCACCGCTTCAGAGCCTCTACTCCCTTCCCAAAAACCTCTCAGAGCCCCCAAAGTCACCCCTAAACAGCCCCTCAAAGCCCCTCTCCTCATAGAATCATAGAATGGTCAGAGTTGGAAGGGACCTTAGAGATCATCGAGTTCCAACCCCCCTGCCCTGGGCAGGGACACCTCCCACCAGACCAGGTCCCTCAAAGCCCCATCCAGCCTGGCCTTAAACACCTCCAGAGATGGGACAGCCACAATCTCCCTGGGCAACCCGTTCCCTCACCACCCTCAAAGGAAAGAATTTCTTCCTAATATTTAATCTAAATCTCCCCTCTTCCAATTTAAAACCGTTACCCCTTGTCCTGTCACTCTCATTGCCCTGTCCTGTCATCCCACCCCCAAAAACCCCCTCAGACCCCCT